AAACAAAGTTCTGTGTGTACTATTTAACACGTTCTTTAGCGTCTGTATGTGTGTGAGCGTATCTGTATATGTCTAAGAAGACAAAGAAGTTAAATGCCTAACTAAAGTCCAACTAGGAGCCTGACACACTGAAGTGTGCAATTTGTGTGTGGGTGCTGCGCGACTGCGTAATAGTTAGGCTCTAGAATCAGATCTGTCACAAGACAAGAAGGGAACTAAGAGGCAGACACTGCAGGTTTCCACCAATATCAGTTCTCCCAATGTTAAAGAAGGTGATCCAGAGCTGCACCAAAACTGTTCGTCTTTCATCCACCTCTCTGCCAAGCTTAATCACATTCTTTACTGGCAGACAAACAAATGGACAAATGACACTAGTAAAATCATATTTCTCCCCCTGACAGATGAATACAAAACGAGCCTCAAACTCTGTCTTTTATTTCTGCTAAACGAGCCACAAACGCGCCTGCTCACACAGTCTGAAAGCAGCTTGAGCAGCACATCTAACAAGATGTCTGACAGTTGTGTGTGTGTGTGTAAATATGCTTGTGTGTCACCGATTTAAAGCTGGCATTTGTTTGTGTATTTTCATGCACAGCTCTTCCTGCATGTGTGTATATACACTGTGCATTTGTGTGTGCATTTGTGTGTGTGTGTGCTTTTGTGTTGAGGCCGCACTAACGAGGGGAATGTCAGCTTGTTGCTCATCAGAGCTCGTTAGAAGTGCAGGCTAACACTTAGAACCCCATTACCCCCCACCATCGTCACCACACAAACACACACATACACACACACACACTCCAATCTCTCTCTCTCCTTCCCCCTCGACACAACACAAAGCCCTCTCTGTTTGTGGACATTACTGCATGTGCAGCGAGTGAAAAAGGCCTAACGACCGGAAGAAAAAGGTGGAATAGAGAGAGTGGGAGGATGAAGGGGTGAAGAAGAAAAAGAAGAAGAGAGGAGCCGTGCCATTGGAAGCTCTGGCAATGGGGCATCTACCCCTGTGAAGCTCATACAACAGTTGCCAACTCAAGTAGCAGAAATTCTACACTGCTTCCAATATCATCCTTGATTATGTATGGTTTTTTACATCGTAATCTGCTCTCAAGAGCCTGTAGGTGACGTTTGGACTTTCCATTTCGAATGCAAATTAAATATAGTTTGAAATGAACCCGAATAATAAAAGTGTGAAGTTAATTTGAAGGCTCCAAGTGTCTACAAATAGACTTTCGCTTTGAGGAATTCGATTCATTCAAAAGATTTTTCTCATTAAAAAAAAAAAACCCACACACACAGCAGCTTTAATTTAGCTAAATAATGGTCTCACTGTTTAAAATACAACTCCTCCACCTTAACTGCAGGCCCGGGACCTCTGCGGTATTTAACTCCCAGTTGTTTTCCCTCTTTCTCCCATGCTTCCTGTTGCCATCTACTGTGCTGTCCAATAAAGGGAAAAAAGCCAAAAATGTATGTTTAAAAAAAAACTATCACCACTGATGCAACAGTGTGGGATTTTCTTATCTGCTCCCACGGTACCCCAGTCACCACTAAACGGCGGAAACATTAAGCTGTCCTCTGATCTCTATCTCAGAGCCAAAGCTACTGTTAAGAATTTTGGTGGAGGCAGCAGGACTCGACCGTGGTCTTGGCAACCTTCACACAGACACACGTAGAGACAAGTCATGATGACAGCAACACTCTTTTACACTGTTATCACCAGGACAGTTTTATGATCCGCTTCCAGAAATGGAATTTCATAATAAAATCCCACCTTAAGTTACACAAACACAACCTAATACAAATAATAATAAGTCTTTGTATCTTTCCCATCTAAGTACCAAAATAGCAATTGCTGATTTTCTCTATATTAAATCCTGTAAAGTAGAACTAAATAGGGATATTGTTGGGCAAAACTCATGGCTCTCAAATGACTGGATACTAGGTCATTTCTTGAAGCTAAAAGAAGCGCAAAAGGCTAATTCTTGCAACAGTGTAGCAGTGCTGCTATTTGCACAGTTTATATTTAAGAAAACAAAGAAAAGAAAATCATTAACTTGTCCCTATGACAGAACAGAAGCTTGATTTCTTTTTCTTGGAGAAATGTCTTCTTCTTCTTCTGTTGCTTACTGGCCATCAGAGCTTTCAGTGTCAACAATTTAAAAAAAAAAAAGCATATACAATCAAAATTTGATGGGGTCTAAGTGTCCTTACTTACACTCCTTGTGAACTTGGTGAAGCTCTGGAAACTTTTAGGTGGTAAAAAGCTAGAGATTGCTGGTGTGTGTGTCATTTTGACTCTTTTTTTATGTAATGTAATGGAACCAGGCTCTTATTTTCTCTTAGGGAGGGGAACAAATGAATGTTTCTGCTTTATGTTTATTTGAAATATACCGATGCATCTTTGTGGTGTTACATTTTAAAAATTAATAAAAGATGGCTCTGTTCTTTACTGTCGTTGCCATGGTGATATGAGAAGACGTATCAGCTTGATGCATCATGTGGGCATGTATGGAGTGCATGAACTACTCTTACTAGAGACAGAAGCAACACCCGAGGCTCAAACATGACAGTAACACAGTAGCCAGTCTGACCTTAAATATTGCAGTAATGTGCATTACTTGTTGGTATACTTGTGTTGGAAAAGGTCCACGCATATAGATTGTGTGTATATATGCTACCTCAAGATCATCCAGGGAGCGGGCCAAGCTGAGACGTTTGGAGCGTCCAAAGGAGCGCCTAGCTGAGGAGCGCTGCTGGAGAGGTGGGAATCCCATGGTCAAACCTCGGAAACGACCGCCCTGGATAGAAAAGAAACACACCATCAGTTTACATGCATATTGTAGACATTT